TGGCAAACACAATAACTATACCGAGTTTGGTACAAATTGGTAGAACGATTACCGAGATACATATACAGTATCGGTCATATCTATAGCACGCCATTTCAAAGTGATATTGTGTGCCACTTACGTTTATTTATATATGTTTAAGAATTTTCAATTAAAATATTGTTCATTCTCGGACAAACCCCATATATACCCAAGTTCAACAATTTGTAGAAAACTACAAAAAAGTGTAACAAATTTTCACCTAAATTTCAAACTTTTTTCTCGGTAGTGATAGAATTTTTTTGAGGACACAGTTTTTTAGCCCCTGCAGTTTTAGTCTGATAATATGCAAATTTCAAGTGGCTACGAATTACCGTTAATTTTTTAGATATTTTTTTCGCATTGGCTTCCATATAATGCATAAACTCAATTTATTTGTATATGGAAGAAAACCGCAACATCCTTGGCGAAAAAAATCAGCGGTAACTTTTAGCCACTTGAAACTTGCACATTATCAGACTAAAATTGGGCTATAAAACTGTGTATTCAGAAAAATTCAAACACTTCCGAGAAAAAAGTTTGAAATTTAGGTGAAAATTTTTTGCACTTTTTTGTAGTTTTCAAGGCTGTTTCTTGTGGGCAGGCAGAGTACTCATAAAACTCGATCTCCAGTATGAGTGGGATATGATGCTTGTCAGTTAGAGATATTGAATAGTCTGACTTAGATAGCTTAGACCATAAGTCATTTGAAATAAATATAAGATCTAAAATCCTATAATACTATGTCTCCACTGTGAGATTTAATGAAGATTTAGCCCTCTGAGGAGATTTAACGTTAAATCTTTTTGTATTTACCATATAAATTTAAAACTCGAAAGGCAGTAGATTTAAGTTAAACCTTCAATAATATTGAACAATAAATGCAATTTGTTGGGTGTGGCAACCACAAATTCACATGCCATAAGTCAAAAGATATTTTTATTTTCAGTATACAGTTGCGGGCATTGAAATCTAGCCTATTAAAAAGCATGAATTTTCATATTTTTAAGCGTGTTTTTATATTTTGGTTGGTTTTAAAGGCAAATTTTAATATTAACATAACT